CGTGCGTCGCGTGCGTGCGTTGCGTGGCGTTTGCGTGCGTGCGTGTCTGTGTGTGCGCGCGTGTGATGTGGTGTGACGCGGTGTAGCGTGGTGGTGGTGGGTGGGGTAGTGCGGTGGTGGTGCCGGTGCGCGGTGGTGGTGCGCGTGCGTGCGTGCGTGCGTGCGTTGGTTGGTGGAAGTGGCGGTGGGTGTGCGTGCGGCGGGGCGGGGCGTGGTGCGGCGCGGTGGTGGCGGGCGGATGGGCGCTCGAGAGAGAGGCCCGCGCTGGGGCGAGAACGCCATCCTGAACGACGGAGGCAAAACACCGATCCGAAAATGAGGCCCACGCTGCAGCGGGAACACGATTCGGAACGATTCGGGAGCAGAAATGGGGCCGGCGCCTCAGCGAGAGCAGCATTTTGAAAAACAGCGCAGGCGAAAACCCAACTCTGGGGAATCGTGTGTGTAAAAAACCAGTACGCGGGGGGGCGAATACGCAAAAGACGTCATCAGGGGAAGAGGGAGAGTAGTATTCATATTGAGTAATTGTGGAGGGGGGAGGGGGGAGGGGGGAGGGGACACGTTTGGTGCGCTCGCGTCATATCTGACATCCTACCCCTCCCTCCCATCCCTTACCATGGCGCAGATCCCCTCTCTGCTCGCACAGTCGGATATCGAGCAGGGCAAGGATCCCGAATGGGTACGCGATGCATTGTAGAGCACGGCGTGGCATGGCGTAGAAGGGCACCGCAAAGCGTAGTATCAACCTAGCATTGCATTGCACGCCGTGGCATGGCACGGGAAATGACGCCAGCGCTGCAACGGGAGCACGAGTCGAAACGAGCGGAAGCGCGGAAATGAGGCCAGCGCTGCAGCGGGAACACGATTCGGAACGAGCGGAAGCACGGAAATGAGGCCGGCGCTGCAGCGGGAGCACGATTCGGAACGAGCGGGGCCCGAAAATGAGGCCGGCGCCTCAGCGAGAGCAGCATTTTGAAAAAAATGCAGGCGAAAACCAATTTCTGGGGAAACCTGTGTGCAAACAAACAGTATGCGGGGGGGTCGGACACTCCCAGGCCGTCATCAGGGGAAGAGGGAGAGTAGTATTCATATTGAGTAATTGTGGAGGGAGGAGGGAGGAGGGAAGAGAGAGGAGGGAGGAGGGAGGAGGGAGGAGGAGGAGGGAGGAGGGAGGAGGGAGGAGGGAGGGGGGAGGAGGAAGGAGGGAGGAGGGAGGGGGGAGGTGGGAGAGGGAGGAGGGAGGGGGGAGGGGGGAGGAGGGAGGGAGGAGGGAGGAGGGAGGAGGGAGGAGGGAGGAGGGAGGAGGGAGGAGGGAGGAGGGAGGAGGGAGGAGGGAGGAAGGAGGAAGGAGGAAGGAGGAAGGAGGAGAAGGAGGAGGAGGAGGAGGAGGAGGAGGAGGAAGAGGAGGAGGAGGAGGAGGAGGAGGAGGAGGAGGAGGACGAAGAGGCTCCTTGGGCGCGTCTTGGGGCACTCTTGGGGCCTCCCAGGAGCTTCCTGGGGGCCTCTTGGAGGATTTTGGGAGGCCTTGGAGGCTTCTTGGGGGCTTTTTTGACCGTCTTAGGGTGTTCATGGCTTGTCTGACGCCGTCGGAAGCCGTCTTGGGGGCCTGTCTGGGTCGTCTTGGGGCCATCTTGGGGCATGTCAGGGGTTCTTAGAAGCCATCTTGGGCGTCTTGGAGGCCTCTTGGGCCGTTTTGGGGCCCTCCTGGGGCCGTCTTGGGTGCCTTTTGGGCCGTCATGGGGCCCCTTGGGCGATCTTGGGGGGCCTCTTGCGCCGTCTTGAGCCGTCGGAATGCCGAGAAGAAGCAAATGCCCAAATTCGAAGGGTGCCGCCTCTGCCGGGGACCCCAACTAAGGTCTGGGAGGTTTAATTTGTCTTGTGGTCTGGGGGGTGAAGGTGTCAGACACGGTGGGGGTCAGGGTGGGTTCCGGGCGAGAACTTGCAGGGTGAGGGGGCCCAAGAACAAAGGTCCTGAGGGGGTGGTCTGGGGGGTGGAGGTGTCAGACACGGTGGGGATCGGGTGGGTTCCGGGCGAGAAATTGCAGGGTGGAGGGGCCCCAAAACAGGGTTCTTGAGGGGGTGGTCTGGGCGGGGGGTGAAGGTGACAGACACGGTGGGGGTCTCCGGGCGAGGACATGCGGTGGAGGGGCCCAAAAACAAAGGTCCTGAGAGGGGTGGTCTGCGGGGTGAAGAGGTCCTGAGGGGGTGGTCTGGGGGGTGGGGGTGTCAGAGGTCCTGAGGGAGTGGTCTGGGGGGTGAAGGTGTCAGACACGGTGGGGGTCGGGGTGGGTTCCGGGAGAGATTGCAGTGCGGGGGTGGGGGGCCCAAGAACAGAGGTCCTGAGGGTGTGGTTTGGGGGGTGAAGGTGTCAGACACGGTGGGGGTGGGGGGCCCAAGAACAGAGGTGCTGAGAGGGGTGGTCTGGGGGGCGAAGGGATCAAACACGGTGGGGGCCGGGGTGGGTTCCTTGCGAGAGTTTGCAGGGTGGGGGGGCGTCCGAAAAAACAGAGGTCCTGAGGGGGTGGTTTGGGGTTGAATGTGTCGGACACGGCGGGGGTCGGGGTGGGTTCCAGGCGAGAAATTGCAGGGTGTGGGGGCCCAAGAACAGAGGTCCTGAGAGGGGTGGTCTGGGGGGTGATGGTGTCAGACACGGTGGGGGTCGGGGTGGGTTCCTTGCGAGAACTTGCAGGGTGGGGGGGGCCCAAGGAGGTCCTGGAGGGGTGGTTTGGGGGGTGAAGGTGTCAGTCACGGTGGGGATCGGGGTGGGTTCCGTGCCAGAAATTGCAGGGTGGGGGGGCGTCCAATCAGAGGTCCTGAGGGGGTGGTCTGGGGGGTGAAGGTGTCAGACACGGTGGGGGTCGGGGTGGGTTCCGGGCCAGAAATTGCAGGGTGGGGGGCCCAAGAACAGAGGTCCTGAGGGGGTGGTCACGGGCGTGGTGGAGGGCGGGGTGGGCGTGAGGGTCGGGTCCGGGCGTGGAATTGCCGGGTGCGCGGTCCCAAGAGAAGTAGTCTCAGAGGTTGAGGATGCCGGGGCGTGGTGGAGGGCGAGTCAGTGGTCAGGGGGTCGGGTCTGGGCGGTGGTGTGCGCAGGATGGGAGTCAGGGTGCGTTCCGGGCGCGGAATTGTCGGGTGGGGAGGCCCAAGAACTGAGGTCCCGAGGGGTGGTCTGGCAAGGTGGTGGAGATGCCAGAGCTTAGTGGAAGCGCGGAGGAGGTGTCGATAGAGTTGGGGCAAGAAATGGCCGTGTTGGGGGTCCGACGAGCTGAGCTCGCGTGGCGTGGGAGTGCCGGGACGTAGTAGTGGAGGCGCGGCGGAAGATGTCGGTTGATTTCGAGCGAGAAACGATTGTGTGTGCTGTGGCGTGGTGGAGGTATCGTGGTCAGCAAGTGCATAGTTGGGTCGCACACGCCTCTGCGGTCGGCGGATCTTTCAATCACCTTGGGGCAATCAATGATTTTTGCTCTTCGTGCCCTCCTGGAAGACCTCCTGGACGCCTTTTGGGCCGTCTAGGAGGCCTCTTGGGGGCCTCTTGGGCCGTCTTGGGTCATCTTGAGGCCATCTTAGGCCGTCTTGGGTGCATCTTGGGCCGTATTGGAAGCATCTTGGGGCCATCCAAGCCGTCTTGGAGGCCATCTTGGGCGTCTTGGAGGCCCCTTGGGGCCCTCTTGGGCCGTCATGGGGCCATCTTGGAGGCCTCGTGGGCGATCTTGGGGCGCTCTCGGGGGCCTCTTGGGCCGTCTTGGGCAGTCGGAAGGCCGAAAAGAAGCAAATGCCAAAATCCTTCAAACACCAACGGGAAATCAATGATTTGTGCCTCTTCGGGCCTTCCTGGAGGACCTCTTGGAGGCGTCCTGGGGGGCTCGTGGGGGCCTCTTGGGCCGTCTTGAACCATCTTGACGCTATCTTAGGCCGTCTTTGAGGCATCTTGGAGGCATCTTGGAGGCATCTTGGAGCTATCTTAGCCGTCTTGGAGGCCATTTTGGCCGTATTGAATGCATCTTCGAGGCCATCTTGGGCCATTTTGGAGCCGTCTGGAGCAGGAGAAACCCTTTGCAACTGGGTCTGGAAGATCTTTCTGGGTGGCCCGCGGGACGGGCCGAAGCCTCAGGGGGAGTTCTTTTGGACAAAGAACCAAAATCGAAAGAGTCTAGCACGCCAGGCACCCCTGCGATGAATCAACAGAGGGCGGCGGATCTTACGGCCTTCGGGCCATCCCGCCACCGTGCCTGGGCTGTGGGTATGAAACTTTTGGATGTTCGTCGAGATCTTCGGAGGCCTCTCGGGGGCCTCTTGGAGGCATGTTTGATGCCTCGTGTGGCCAGTTTGGGGGCATCTTAGGGCCTCCTTTGTGCCTCTTGGCAGCCTCTTGGGCCAGTTGGGGACCTCTTGTTGGCCTCTTGGGGCCTCTTGGGCGCCTCTCGGGGCCTCCGGGAGGCCTCTTGGGGCGGAAGGCGCGGATTTTTGGTTCGTGTTCCCTCTCTGGGCCTCTTTGGGAGCAGTCTTGGGGCCCTCTTGGGCCGTCTTGGGCTACTCTTGGGCGCCCTTAGGCCGTCTTGGGGCCCTCCTGGAGGCCTCTTGGGCCGTCTCGGGGTGGTCTTGGGGGCCTCTTGGGCCGCCTTGGAGCGCCCGAAAACCGAAAGAAGATCACTGATTTTTGCCAGGGGGCACGCCGGGAGCCCCGCCAAAGTCGGGAGTTTGGGGTCCGGGCCCCTTCAAGACTCCTCAGGACTGCGGACTGAGGCTCCAGGGATGAGGCAAAGGACCTGAGGACACGCCCTCTACGTGCTCAGAGGCACGGGGGCGGATGCTCATGCAGTTTTTTGTTCTTCTAGGAGTGCTGAGGTGCATGCGTCGACATACAGTGGGGGCGCGCATCAAGAAACCATGTGATTTTCGTTAGGGTACCCTGGGTTTCTTCGCTCCTCGCGATGCGCGGTGAGTTCCCGCAGCCGTTGAAGAAGCTGCTGCGTTCAGGGTGCTCCAGGGTTCCCTTGAGGTGCACCTCGCGCACGGGTTCTCAGGGCTGAGTTTCTCGCGAGGGTTTCTTGCGGCCGCGCCCGCACTGTAGTTACACTTCTCAAGTAGGTTACTCGGCTCTGCCCGAAGTGGCGGGATCAGGGGCAACGTGGGGGTGATATGCTCATGGCGGGATGCATCGACCTCCGATCGCCCATGCATCGCCGATAGGGGCTCGATGCCCCACCCCTCTCAGGAACGTGCGGTTTCGCTGATTATCGGGGGCCTGTCGCCGATCAATTGGCGATGCATCGCCGATACGGGGTCGTCGGTTCGCCCCCCCTGAGCGGGTCCCCCCTCTCCTTGCCCCTCGAGATGGCTCGGCTATGCCCGCACTGGCGGGAGCGGAGCGTCTAACACTCACTTTGATTTGAAAGGTGGCCCACGGGCCCCGCGAGTAAATGTCACTGACAGGCGTATGACAGCAAGGCGACTGCGCTCGATCGGAAGAGCGCGTCGTGCTCGAGGGTCTGTCTCCTCGTATGGACTGCTTGCTTCGTCGTAGGCCTCGAAGCAGTGCATGGCACAGTTGTTGCGCAGGGGTCGCGCTCAGGCGAAGCACCCAGGGAGTAACAGGACCTACACGGGGAGGGGGGGTGGGCCGATGCGCATTCCTGACCTGCTGCGCATGGCGCGCGCCATTAAAGTGTAGAGTACTGATGGAGGCAGGCACTAGACGCTGATTCGCCTCCTCCAGTCCCGTCGCCGTCCCTCCACATCGGATCTCTTTTTCATTCGCCGGCATATGAGATCGGATCGGGTACGGCGGGTTCGCGCAGCGGTGACGTGGCGGTGATCCGGATGTGGGCGCTCAAAGTTGAACGCCGCTATTTACCCAGACCTTCGCCCCAGAAACGACAGGGCCGTATTTTTTACCGTTTTTGAAAAAGCGTCTCTTGAAAACGGAAACGGCAAAGAGAGATGACCGGAAACTGCAAAAAAACGGCTCCAGGATTGGAACCGGAGCCGAAATTTGGTAAACAATGGCGACGGAAATGGTAAAACAACGGCGTCGGAACCGGCAAACAAATGACAAAACGCAACAGGTAAAAAGCGGCCCTGTCGTTTCCAGGGCCCACTCAGGCCCAAACCCTTGCTGAAAGTGGGCGATCTGCGCTGTCGGAAGGCCGTGATCGTGATCGATCCTCGCGGCCTCAGAGGTCAGCGAGTGTGTTGAAGTTGCGGAGGTCCAGCAAGGCTCTCGCTGAAATTGAATGACCTCCTGAAGTTGAGCGATTTGCGCTGTCGGAAGGCCGTGATCGTGATCGATCTTCGCGGCCTCAGAGATCAGCGAATGTGTTGAAATTGCGGAGGTCTAGCAAGGCTCTCTTGCTGAAACTGAGTGACCTCCTTCAGAGCGTGAATTACCTACCCCGCTTTCGCTTCCAGGCAAAACCAAGTCATACCACGCGCCTCCTCGTCAAGCGGCCTGACCAGTACAGGCCGTAGTTTGGCATCGCTTGGCATCTCTTGGAAGCGAGGGTGGTAAAAATCGAGGTAGGTTTGTTTGCCCCCTACTCCTGAAGTTGAGCGATCTGCGCTGTCGGAAGGCCGTGATCGTGGTCGATCTTCGCGGCCTCAGAGATCAGCGAGTTTGTTGAAACTGCGGAGGTCCAGCAAGGCTCTCTCGCTGAAGCTGACTGACCTCCCGAAGTTGAGCGAGCTGCGCTGTCGGAAGGCCGCGGCCGTGGGCGACCCGCGCGCAGCCTCGGAGACCAGCGCCGTCGCCACCGCTGCGCGAGCCTGCCGCGCGTGGGGCCTCCTGGTCCTCTCGGGGGGGGCGCCTGGCCGAGGGGAGGGGAGTGCGCAAGGGCGAGCCGGGGATCCACGCGAGGAGAGCAATGGGCCTTTTTGTTGTTATCGTTATCGTTGTTATCGTTGTTATCGTTGTTATCGTTGTTATCGTTGTTATCGTTGTTATCTTTATCGTTATCGTTGTGAGTGCAAGGGCGAGCCGGGGATCCACGCGAGGAGAGCAATGGGCTTTTTTGTTGTTCCAGGGTTGCGCAAGGCGTCTCGAGGATGGCAGTGAAAATCCCACTGAATGGCGAGGGGAGGAGTGCGCAAGGGCGAGCCGGGGATCCACGCGAGGAGAGCAATGGGCTTTTTTGTTGTTCCAGGGTTGCGCAAGGCGTCTCGAGAATGGCAGTGAAAATCCCACTGAATGGCGAGGGGAGGAGTGCGCAAGGGAGAGCCGGGGATCCACGCGAGGAGAGCAATGGGCTTTTTTGTTGTTCCAGGGTTGCGCAAGGCGTCTCGAGGATGGCAGTGAAAATCCCACTGAATGGCGAGGGGAGGAGTGCGCAAGGGCGAGCCGGGGATCCACGCGAGGAGAGCAATGGGCTTTTTTGTTGTTCCAGGGTTGCGCAAGGCGTCTCGAGGATGGCAGTGAAAATCCCACTGAATGGCGAGGGGAGGAGTGCGCAAGGGCGAGCCGGGGATCCACGCGAGGAGAGCAATGGGCTTTTTTGTTGTTCCAGGGTTGCGCAAGGCGTCTCGAGAATGGCAGCAAAAATCCCCACTGAGAGGCAGGGGATCCACGCGAGGAGAGCCAAGGCTTTTTTGTTGTTCCAGGGTTGCGCAAGGCGTCTCGAGAATGGCAGTGAAAATCCCCACTCGGAGGCAAAAGGTGGGCACCCACCTCTTATGGACTGCCGCCGGGAGTGAGCACTACACGGACAGCATAGACGACATGCGAGCCCGTTGCAACAGGTCGCAAAAGCCAGCACGCCGACGCGCGCTACTACAGATCGGCGGCGAGCGAGGGGGGGAAGTGAGAAGGAGAAGGCCTTCTCAGAAGGCGGCGGAACTTCTCAGAAGCCCTCGCGCCTTCTTAGGAGTTTTTGTCTGTCTTCGGGGAAGGCTCGGAAAACTTCTCAGAAGGCCGTGGGACTTCCGAGCCTTCTGAGAAGGCCTCCTTCTCGCTTCGCCCCCTCGCTCGCCGCCGAACATACCATGAATAAAGGTGCTCTTCAGCAGAACAGCGAGGGGGGAAGCTTCCCGATCGGCCATTCAGCGCCGACAGGGTGTAGCCGCCTCCGCCCAGGAACGCGGAGATTCGCGGGGCCTGCCGCCGATCTAATGGCGATGCATCGCTGATTCGAGTTCGATGTTTCCAGCCCCCTTCCCGAGCCCGTCCCTTCTAACGCTGCTCCTCAGAAAGATAGAAAACGAGAGAGAGAGAGAGAGAGAGCGCGGTGGCCAACATCTGACGCGCTTCAAGAAAGGCCTGGCATTCGAGAGTCGAAAGAGTTGGCATCTCTTCCTCGGCGGAAGGCGGCGGAAGGGCGGTGGAAGGCGGCGGAAGGAAAACGAGGGCACCGGTGCCAGCGGAAGCCGGCGGAAACTCGGCGTCAGGCGGCGGAAGTAAGAGATGTGCCCCCGAGAGATGCGAAATTTGAGTTGGATCCAGAGCTTCGGGGTTCGGCCACCTGCTCTCTCAAATGCGTTCCTCTTCCCCCGTGCGGCGGCTCCTCCGCGCCACACCGTGCGGCTCCGAGCCCTCGCGCGCGCGCGCCCGCTCCGTTTAAAGTACTACGCCAGCCTCCACCGCCGAGCGGCCGTTCCACGATAATTATACGCCGGCGGGCGGACAGCGCAACCTACAGTGTGCTGCCCCTCCCTCCCTCCTGCCTCCTCCTCCTCCTCCTTCTCCTCCCTCCTCCTTCTCCTCCTCCCCCTCTCCCCCTTCTCCTCCTCCTACTCCACCTCCTCCTCCTCCTCCTCCTCCTCCTCCTCCTCCTCCTCCCTCCTGCCTCCTCCCTCCCTGTTCCCTCCTGCCTCTTCTCAGGGGGGGAAGAGATGCCGATGCCCTGTGGCCGTCCTTCGTTTCCACGGCGGGATGCGCCTCGGAATCTTGATCAGCACACGCGCCCCAGGAGAGGCGGTAGCGATCTCGGTGTCGTTCTGCTCCCCCACTCCCAGCTCTTGCCTCCTCCCCTCTCCATTCCGCCCCTCGCTTCGCCCGCCTTCGCCCCTCCCCCTCCCTCTCCTGCTGCCGGGGGCCCACGCAATCAGCTATCCTGCAAGAGAGCTCAGGTAGGCACCCACCTCAAGCAGAGCTCTCGTCGAGGCCAAACCTAATCACTCTGGGTAGGCCTGGGGTAGGTGCGGCCTTTCATGGCCGCCGTTAAGTATTCGATCTCTTGATGTTTGGCCTGTAGAGTCCTGTGGAATCCCTCCGCCGACGGCAAGCCGTGCGGGCTAAGACATCCTGTCTTAAGCAACAACAGCAATATGTTACCCTCATGCGCCATGCTTCAACACGCCACACGCGTCTATCATGATGCCACCCCCTCTTGAGCGGACCTGCATGACAAGGAGGCCGAAATTCTGTCACCCAGCTTTCACGCCCGCGGAGGTCGAGCCAACACCTCTCCCGAGGCACATTCCCACTTTTAGCCGCTCGCGCGACACATACAAATCAGTGCGATTCTGGGGAGCGGTGAGGATTCAAAGCACGAAGGGTTCGAGCACCTGGAGAGGGGGGCAATCTGCGGGAACATGCGTGAAACACTAAGGATCCGAGCCCCAGTCGAAGGGAATATCTGAGGTTGAGGGGTGAGATCGGATTGGAGCGGAGAGCCCCCTACCAGCAACTCGGTTTCGGTTTCGGGTTGTTGTCGTGCGTGCGTTCTAGGCGAAGTTGCGTAGGCGGGCGAGAAAAAATCAACCCATCCTCTGGCTGGCGCGCGGCGAGGACAGAAGTCCGCCCCCCCAAGGCCGCGTGGCCGGCGGCGGCCACAGGTGTCCCGTGGGTGTCCCGCCGGTGTCCCGTCGGTGCACCGTCGGTGTCCCGTCGGTGTCCCGTAGTGGGATCGCTAGTGAGGTCGATAGTGGGACTGATCGTGAGGTCGATAGTGAGATCGATAGTGAGGGCGATTGTGAGATCGACAGTGGGATCGATCGGGGGATCGATCATCAGATCGATAGTGGAATCGATTGTGAGATCGTTGGTGAGATCGAACGAGATCGACAGTGCCATCGGTATTGAGATGAGTAGTGAGAGGGCTTGGGAGATCGATTAGTAGATGGATAGTGAGTTTGATAGTGAGATTGATCGTAAGATC